TTTTAGGTGGGTGGACCTCTCTCCTGTGCTGTCCTGGCAGATGTATTGGGGAAAATGACAGCCAAATTCTGTATGTTTGAATGGATTAGTTGCAATATTATGCCAAAAAATGGCATCAATGCATGTGGTCCATATTCTGTAACAAACTCATCCACTATTGCTTGAACATGGAAGATTACATAGGAGCAAAACAACAAGCTTGAGTTTTTAGCTAAACAACAGTAAAGCCCCGCTTAAATCAATGCTCAACAAAAAAAGAAAAGCCAGAAAAGCCCAGTCACATGGCCTGTCAAAGTCAGCAGGCTCGTCATCTTGGCCTGCATTTTATGAATGGCTTGTAAGAGGCAGTCAATGTGGAGTAAACACTGATGACTAGCTGTATCCACTCTTCATTATAAAGAATTGTTACAACCTTTTCTTTGCTGTTTAAGGCTATATTCACCCCCATGACAAGATCAAATTCAAGGTCAAAGCTTTTCTTAGACAACAATGCACTTCTTTGTTTTAGAACACCCGGAGCAAAGCAATATAACTGAGGTGAGGTATCAGAGGCCTTTAACCCAGGGGTGGACATATGAATATGGAATTCAGAAGCCAGTCTGTCTAGCTCAGCAGGATGGAGCCAAGCTCCATAGACAACTAGAGAAAACCAGAGTAAAGTCGGCCATACACCTAGAGATTTTCTGCAGATTTTCTGTGGTCAGATGGAAAAAGTGCAACACATTCCTCCATCTACGCTACACTGTGTGGATGGAGAAATCTCCCGCTGGGCCAAGCTTCAGTATCTTGCTAGTCGGCCCCATTGCCTGTTAAAACACCTAAGCAATGCCTGCATCCAATCAGATTGTTCAGGTATTTTGACAGCCAGTGGGGCCGACTAGCAAGATACTGAAAGTTGGCCCAGTGGGAGATTCCTCCATCCACACAGTTTAGCGTAGATGGAGGAATCTGTTGCCCTTTTTCCATCAATCTGACCATAGAAAATCTGCAGATAATCTATAGGTGTATGGCCAGCTTTAGGCACCAGCTGCCATTTTCAAGGAGTATTGGCTACCTGGCTCCTGGGATTTGTCCAGAGCTGCCTTAAACCCAGGGGTGGACAAATGAATATGTAATTTAGGATTTTGTTGGCTTTACTTTGTGTCAGCTCCATTTAGGAGCCGGTGGTAATTTTTAAGGTTCAATGGATACCTGGGCTCCTGGGATTCGCCCAGTCCTGCTTTAACCAGTGGCCGCCCCTACCATCTATATACACATGGTCAAACCGTCTTGATCTTCCCAATCAATGTGGTCAATCTGGATCCCAGCAGGTTCAAAAGGTGTCACTGCCAGCACACAGATGATCAGATTCTGTGCATGTTTCCTCACCTCTGCATCCAGCTGACACCAAGCTTCATCCAAATAAAAAAAAACATACAATTTGTGCGCACACATAAGGGCAGACAATTGTCTTGTATACTCTGAGCAGCATTAAAACAAGCCTGTGGCTCTCCATTTGTGGTGCCATAAGAGCCTCATGGTCATAGACACAGCTGGGGAACACAGGTGCTTGAGCCTCAGCAGGCACTACCCTGAAGACCAATCTCATACTGAAGTCACTGGGTACAGATAAAACATGGTGGTGTGGCAAGTCATATATTAAGCCCGTGACGCACAGCATGCAAAGTCGTGCAGAGTGAAGCAAAGCCGTCAGGCACAGAGCTTCGCATGCAGTGTGTGAGCGGAGTAAAGCCAGATGATTGGCTGAAGATGCAGTCAATCAGCTCGTATCGTGATGCGCGGGTGGCTGAAGATGAAATTTCTCATGTGGGCACACTCAGCTATGAGAGCTCCCGCAAGCGGATGTGCTGTGGAGAAAATTACATGACACTGCACGCAAAGGCTGCACGCAAACGTGCAGCCCGCCACCGCTCCACGCCACTGCAGCCCAGGACTGTGCCAACATTACAACCAAATCAACAGCAAATGCAAGGGGTGTGGGCATGTAAAGGGCAGAAAATTATCTCCTACTGTTAGGAACCCTGCGGTTCTATAGCTGTGAAACTATAAGCAACCAATGGCCATCCAGTCAGTAGGGGAATCCAAGGTGCTTCAGCCTCAGCTGGAACTACTCCGAATACCAAACGTCTTCTATAGCCAATGCACACATAAAACATGCCATGGCCTGTAGTTTAGAGAAGCCACTGCAGCCCCACCGTTCCCTACAGTCATATCGGCAGCAAGTACAAGAAGTATGGATTTATAATGGGCAGACAATCATTAAGTGCATCCAAACCAAAAATATACCAAGACAAGCTGCGTCTCTTTAGCTGTGGAACTATAAGAACCAGCCAACTTGATCCTCAGCTGGTGTGACGCTGAATAGCAAGCTTCAACTATAGTCAATGGGCACATAAATTATGCCATGTTCTGTGGTTCCATGGCGGATAAACGGCCACTATGGCCCAGGTCTCGGCTGTCACACTACTGCCGCCACCTAAATAGAAAATAAATTAATGTATAAAAGGCAGACAACCGTTTGATATATCAGAAGACAGCCTACAATTCTTGAGCTGTGTAACCGGAAGGGGCCCAATGGTCATCCCCAGCCAGACAGGTGCTTGGTACTTAGCTGGGAGTACCCTAAATACCAGGTTTCTGCTATAGGCAATGGGCACACATAAGAGGGCAGTGTGGCAGCCATGTCTCATGCATGGTATACATAATGGGCACATAAGAGGGCAGTGCGTCAGCCATGTCTCATGCATGGTATAGGTAATGGGCACATATAAGAGGGCAGTATGGTAGCCATGTCTCATGCATGGTATAGGTAATAGGGCCATATAAGAGGGCAGTGTGGTAGCCATGTCTCATGCATGGTATACGTAATGGGCACATATAAGAGGGCAGTATGGTAGCCATGTCTACTGTGAAACTATAGGGGCCCAGTGACCATCCTCAGCCAGACAAGTGCTTGGTACATAGCTGTGATTACCTTGAATATCAAGGTTCTACTATAGGCAATGGGCACATAACAGGGTAATGTGGTAGCCATGTCTCATTCTTCCAAAGCAGCTAGACAGCCATTGCAGCCGTCGCATTGCAGCCACACACACGGCAGATACAAGAGGTATGGACGTGTAAACAGCAGACAATCATTACCTATGTACATACAAACACAACCTGCATCACTGTAGCTGTGCAACTATAGGGGCCCACTGATCATTCTCAGCCAGACAGGTACTTAGCTTGGATTACCCTGAATACAAAGTTTCATGTCTGGTAAAGGTAACGGGCACACATAAGCGGGCAGTGTGGTAGCCAGGTCTCATGCATGATATAGGCAATGGGCACATATAAGAGGGCAGTGCACGCAGCCATGTCTCATGCATGGTATACGTAATGGGCACATAAGAGGGCAGTGCACGCAGCCATGTCTCATGCATGGTATACATAATGGGCACATATAAGAGGGCAGCGTGGTAGCTAGGGCTGCAACAACTAATCGACATAATCGATTATAATCGATTATTGAAAAAGTTGTCAACTTTTTCAATAATCGATTAATCGGCTTCCGATCAGTTGGCCCTGTTCACGGCTCCACACACGCTGTGCGCCGCACCTCCTCCCCACCTCACACTCGCAGCTGCCAGAACCGCCTGCATCCTGGTGCCATTCTGCATTCATTGCTGTATAAATTTTACACTTTCCTTTTCACTATATTGCACACCACACTATTTCTTTTTCTTTTTTACTTCCACCGCTCCAAGCTTGCTCCTGTGATGGAGTGCAATCTCAATACAAGCTAGTAGTCCATCACTGGAGCCATTTTTTACATTTTATTTTATTATTTATCCGATTAACCGATTAATCGAACTTAATAAATCGGCTAACTAATCGATTTTGAAAATAATCGTTAGCTGCAGCTCTAGTGGTAGCCATGTCTCATGTATGCTGTAGGTAATGGGCACACATAAGAGGGCAGTGTGGTAGTCATGTCTCATGCATGGTATATGTAATGGGCACATAAGAGGGCAGTGTGGTAGCAATGTCTCATGCATGGTATTCGTAATGGGCACACATAAGAGGGCAGTGTGGGCATGTCTCATGCTTCCAAAGCAGCTGGACAGCCACTGCAGGCTCAGCTCCAGCTGTCACTTTGCCGTTTACACATCCATATCTCATTGGACTGTAATAATTTCATATGTACATACAAATACAATCTGCATCTCTATCTGTGAACCTATAGGGGCCCATGGATCATCCTCAGCCAGACAGAGAGTTACAGGTGCTTGGTCCTCATCTGTGATGCCTGAACACCAAGCTTTTGCTATAATCAATAGGCACATATAACAACCATGCATTATGGCCTGAGCCTCAGCTGTCCCATCCAGAGCAGCAGCAAGGCCTACATGCACGGTGACAAGTGGGGGTGGGGGCTTCAGCCGGTGCTCCATACCCTGAGGCAGGGAAAGGCATCCCAGGGCTCTGCCAGGAAACGACAAGCCTGTCATAGGCCGAGGAGGCTTGCCGGGACTTGTAGTCCCACAGAGGCTTTTGAGGGACCGTGGTGAATAGGGGTGACCCCCTCCAGAGCCGGCCACCAGGGAGGAGGAGCGGTGGGATGGGTGAGCCGGGGAGGAGGTGGGGGGTTCACGAGGACATCTGCCCTCCCTCCCCCTAGGGGGGTTGTCTACGATCCAGCCCTGGCTCATCACTTACCGCTGCGGCATCAGCGCCGCCACCACCACCACCTCCCGCCCTCCGCCGATCCCGATGCTGCCAGCCGAACGAGCACTGACGGCGGAGCGTCCTACCCACAATGGGCGGGTTCACATGGAGAGAAGTGGGTGGCCGTTAGTCCGGGGCTGACACAGGAAGGACGCTTCATGTGGCCTTTATTTTTGTCTTTTTGTGGCCCCCCGCCTGTCACCGTGCCGGCCTGGTCCGCGCGCCCGCCGCCAGCTGCCCGGAAGGACGGGGAAGGCCTGGGCCCGGGCCTGCGGCCTAGCTCCTCTTACCTGGCCGCCGCCTTGCTCGCTGTCATCGCTGCTGTTGCCGTGCTGCAAATACTCGCTCTGCCCGTCCACCTCCATGGCGGCCATCTCTTCCCTCTTGACGGGCTGTTCGGGAGCTGAGGGGACAAAAGAGACAAACACGACAGAGTCAGCGCCATTACTGGAGCCGCTGCGGGGCTTCCCCTTACTCTCTACCCCCCGACTCCCCTTTCTCACACCTTTCCCTCCCCCCTCTCACACAAACTGCGCCCGGCCGCACCACCGTGTTCCCCGGCGACCCGCGGGCGGGCGCCTTTTACGTACCGGTCATTTGTGTTTGTGGCAGGATTAAAGGAAACCAATCCCCAAGGAGAGAGAGGAAAAAGCCAACAGGCCCGGGCAGGGCTGCGCAGGCCGCGGTGGCTTTATTAGACGCGTGACATGATTAGAGTATAATAATCACAGGCGCGCTGCGGACGGAGAGAACCAGGCGCGTTTTTTTTTTCCTATTTTGATTGACGGTGCGGGGAAACACAAAAGGTGGGGCTTGCAGCCAGTACGGGGGACGTGTGGCGTCACACGTTACGGAAGGTCCGCCCCTGTTCTACGGTGCTATTGGCAGCGGAGAGGCCCTCGACCGTCGCTGATTGGCTGAGAGACGTGTCTTTCCTGTGCCGGGGTTTTTTTTCCCCTATTACGCGGGCTTCCTGTGAGGTTTGCGTGACGTGCGCGCTCCCTGTGTTTACTATCGCAGACAATGAGCGGGAGGAAGTGCCGTGCCGGGCCCGCGCTGCAGCCGACTAGAGCGGGCTTCAGGCCCGGCGTGCTCCCGCTGTCGCGGCCCGGGCCTCCTACACTGACAGGCGAGCTCTTCTTGGAAAAGCGCACCTGTCAGCGGCGGCAGCTATTTTGTTCCGCAGCGCTCAGCTAGCCGCTTCATCGGGACTTTTAGCACACGTTGCTGTGGAACTGATAGGCTGAATGTAGATCCTGTCTACAAAATGGCTGCCACAGTTCTGTATGGGGGGGACAGATGCTTCTTATTCATAACCGTGTGAACCGAATAAAGCGTTTAATATGAGACATTAAAGGCCCACCCCACCTTTGCTGATCGTTACTTTACCCCTTCATTGGAATGCTGCAGACGTGTGATTAAAGCGGACCTGTCTGCAGTGACAGTGCAGTAGCCATTTTGTGATGGGTACACATATCTCACACATTTAGGAACGCACAGCTTGTCATTTCACAGAGGTCACATTCTAAAGAATAAAGAAGCAGAAAACAGGTTATGTCCTCAAAATGTCCATATTCACTAATAATAAGAACATCATGGGGGGGAATTTATCAAAATTGGAGCAGTTGCCCATGGCAACCAATCAGCATCTCTCCAGTTTGCTTAGGTAAGATTTGAAAATGAAAGAGAAGCTGATTGGTTGCCATGCAAATCTGCTCCAGTATTGATTAATCTTCCCAATGTGTATGTATTGCCAGCATTTGTAGGCTAGTTCTGGATAGAGTAGAGAAAGGCTGAAACCCATGTGAGGTAATTTTTTTTTTTACTGCCTGTGTTCCATTGGGGACATTTCCCTTCAGTTCCTCTCCCAGGCATGCAACAGGATATTAGAGGAACTCTTCCAAAGTAAAAGGAATTACTCTCTAAGACAGGGATGGGCAACTCCTGTCCTCCAACTGTTGTGCAACTACAAGTCCCATGAGTCATTGCAAGACTGACAGCCACAGGCATGTTGGGATTTGTAGTTAAAGTACAGCTGGAGGGCCGTGGTTGCCCACCCCTGATCTTAGATGTCCCCATTGGAAGGTTTCTGCAAGCCTTTTGTTCTGGGGCCGTGCCTAAACCTTTGGCTTTCACCTCAGGTTGTCTCGGTGACTCAATCCAAAACTCAAAAAAAGGCTTTGCCTAGAGACATACTTAAAGGGCTCGTGCACACGCAACGCAAGAGCAAAATTGTATATTGCGTTTATGCGTGCACTATATGCAATCCCAGAATGCATCATTTGTAATAGAAATTTTAATGAACTGTACGTGTGTATATGCACGTAAAAAAAATGCACGAAGGGATGGAGCAGTTGCCCAGGGCACCCAATCAGCTTCTCTCATTTTCAAATCAACTGAACAAACTTAATAGAGACACAGATTGGTTGCTATGGGCGACTGCTCCAGATTTTGTCTGCTTCAGTTTTGATAAATTCCCCCCCATACAATAGAGGGAATTATTCATAAAAACTGGAGCAATTGCCCAGAGCAACCAATCAGCGTTTCTCTTTAGTTTGTTCAGTTAAGCTTTGAAAATGAAAGATAGAAGCCGGTTGGTTGCTATGGACCATTGCTTCAAATGTTAATAAATTCCCCCGTGTCTCATCTACAATAAAGGCTGATTGTCCTCCTCCTCGCAAGATGCTTTAGCTCACAGCAAGGCAACCTTGGCACTTCAGGACTACAAGTCCCATGAGGCATTGCAAGATGCTATCAGCCACAGGTATGGCTCTCAGTGGAAGAGGCATGAAGGGATTTGTGGTTTCACAACAGCTGTGGTGCCAAGGTTGCGTACCACCATACTCTGAGGTGTGGCTGTGCTGGAGTTATGTCTTCCCAGCCTGGCCATTCAAGATGACCGCAGACCCCCAACATGGAAGAAGGCTGAGATATCAGTGCCGTTGAGGGAGCTCAAGGGACGCCGCATCTCTGGAGGGTGAGTATTTGAGGCCTTAGTTCTACTTTAAAGGTGTCCTCCAACTTTATGACCATGTTATATGTTACAACCATATTTAGGGTATAACAGGAAACTTGAGGTGTGTTAAGTTCCTTAGCCAAGTGCTGAGGAGCTGTTCTGCAGCAGCTTCACTGAATGCTTTGGCTGCACAGTGTGAGGCGGAGGATAATATTTCTGACTAATAAATACCATTTTCCAACAAATATTTGGTGTGCTCGTCCACCAAAACATTACATTGCAGGTTCCCACACCGAATTGATTTCCTCCATCGGGGTTTAGGCGCCTCACCCCAGCGATGCCAGGTGTGCCCACAGTTAAAATGGCTGCTGGTGCTGTGTCCCCAGCTTCTCCATCACACTCTGCGTCCACAGGCGTGTTCAGTTGCTCAGCTGCTGCAAGTGCTGAGTTAGCAAATCGCAACAGAATGCTGTGCTGCAAGTCAGCGCTCAGTACTGCTAACGTAGCACTCGCAGCGGAAGTGAATGTGGGGACAGAGCACCACCTGGCAGCGCTGGAGAAAGGTTCCTGAACCCCAATGGAGAAAATCAGTTCAATTTAATGTTTTGGTGGAGGAGCAAAATAAATATTTGTTGGAAAATGGTATTTATTAGTCAGAAATATTATCCTCCGCCATTTTGCTTAGCACTGTGCAGCCGGAGCGTTCAGTGAAGCCGCTGCAATGAACTGAAGTGCTGCAGAACAACTACTTAGTGCTTGGCTAAGCAGCGAGTGCTAAGTTAGCAGTGCTGAGCGCTGACTTGCAGCACAGCGTTCAGAGGTAGTTTGCTAACTCAGGACTCGCAGCGGCTGAGTGACTGAACACTCCTCTGGTCTAAACATCCCCCCCCCCCCCTTCTTACCTGAATTGCAGGGTTGTTTTATTTAGTATGCCTACACATGGCTCTGCTCAGAGGTCTGTCAATGGGATGACTACAGGCCCCACCTGCCACTACGGTGGAGGGACTCGTAGATCTCAAAGGAAGACCCATGCAATGATGTCACCACAATTGTAGTCCATTCATTACTTCCTCCAGCCCCATAACAGAAGGTCTGTACCTCTGTATGTACCTGGGCCTGGGGATAACCAATGCAGGAGCCTGGGCATTGCACATGTAATCGTGGTTGCGATGCTCTGCAGGCTTCATTTTGTGGGTGCATTTATTACATTTTTGGGAAATGTGGAATGTACCAATGGTGAGGTTCAGAACCCTTGTCATGTATTCATCTGTGAACCGGCCATGCCGTACAGACTCCTAATGCTCCATCTACATCCGAGGTGCATGGCTAACCGTGGTACCCTCCAGATCAGGGGTGGGCAACTCCGGCTCTCCAGCTGTGCTTTAACTACAAATCCCATCATACCTCTGGGCGTCATGCCTGTCAGTCTTGCAATGCCTCATGGGACTTGTAGTTCAACAGCTGGAGTTGCCCACCCCTACTCTAGATCCATAGAGAAAATAACCAGCAAATCAAAGTACCAAGTTGATGATGTATTGACGTTCCATAGAAACCAATGTTTTAGGAACACAGAGGAATGTTTCCTGTTCTGTCTGGGATCCTCTGTGGCCCCGAAAATGTAGTTTCCTATTTTGGAGTGCTGGCTATTTTCTATGTTTGTGTGTGTGTATTGCTGTCTCTGTCCCCACTGAGGAGATTCACCCTTTCTATTTGTTCTGGTGACCAGAAAGTGCAGAAGAATCCAACATTTAATGGTAGTTTATGGAGCAGGAAGTAAAGGGAAATCTCACAATTGTGATAACTGTCTAAGAGGGGATTTATCCTTGGTTTGGTGAGGCTTCTAACTTCCTGTTAGGTCTATGAGAAAGAAAGTGAAGGGAAATCTTCCAATGGGTAGTCTCACTTCCTACTAGGTCTACAAGACAGGAAGCAAAGTAAGTCTTCCAATGTGTACACCTGTTCCAGTGACAACTGTCTAAGAGGGGATGTCCCTTTGGTTTGCCAAGGTGTCTCACTTCCTTCTAAGTCTACAAGACAGGAAGTGAAGGGAAGTCTTCCAATGGGTACACCTGTTCCAGTGGTAATTGTCTAAGCGAGAATTTTCCCTTTTGGTTTGTTGAGGTATCTCACATCCTGTTAGCTCTACAAGTTGGGTCAGCTGTTTCAAAGCATGGTGACTGTAAGGGCTCAGTCACACTAGATGCAATGCGTTCCGGCCTGATTGTGGCCGGAGCGCACTGCCTCGCATTGTGGCCGGCTTACTTTTTAGTGGGGTAGGAGGAGGCGTGGTGGGCCATTCAAATTAATCAAAATACAAGCAGTACTTTGATCGCACCGCACAGGGCCGGACCGCAGACACAATGTGCCCTGCGATCCTGTGCGGCCGGAGGGCGTGGCTACGGCGCCATTCATTTGAATGGCCCGCCACGCCCCCTCCTGCCCCACTAAAAAGTGAGCCGGCCGCAATGCGAGGCAGTGCGCTCCGGCCAAAATCGGACCGCACTGCACCCAGTGTGAATGAGCCCTAAGTGTTTGGACAAAAAATTGAAAAAATACTTTGCTGGTCAATGTATATTTGTTTGATCTGAAATTAATATTGAAACAAAACATTGGCTGTATAATACAACTTTAATATTAATATCACATCACAATATCACATCCTGTACACGGTGTATTGGACGTGATGACTCGAGGATCCTTAGACCACTGCGGCAGAG